CCTAAGTATAAAATTTAATCAACCGGATTATGTATATTTTCTTTCAAAAGCCCTCTTAAAGGGAACCCATCTGCAGCTCATTATTTTGTTCTAATAGGAACAAAGACTATGATTTGAAGCAAAGAAGGCCTACATAAATTGGCCCTTTGAAATCCATTATATGTATATAATCTAGGAACCCACGAACTGGAAGCCAGAGTACTCTGGTATTTTTTAGGAGTACAAAGAAACTTGTTTAAATTAATTATGTGTTATAGGTAAAATGGAAAGCAAAATAAATTGGCCTATAAGTAACGTCATGTTATATCTTAGTTCTCTATAACCATGTAACACTCTTAGCACAACAACCAATATTTATTTCATACATTTTCTTTCAATTTACTCACTCTTTTCTAGATCTTAAACATTTTTAAATGGAGTGAAACACTATGAGTTAAGACTGGAAAGCTGGGCTAAAGAAAAACTCCAAAGATCTGAAAACAAGAATTGTCTTCCAATTTACCCAACTCTGAACGAAGTATGTTAAAATTTCCTGTAAATTCATAAACGTAATGTCAACTCAAATTAAACAAGGTAATGATGAAGCTATTGATTCCTATTAATGTCATTTCTCACAGCTATTGTATCAAAAATCTCTATTCTCAGACCTAGAGAAACTGTAAAATTATCATTTTCTCTCCATTCCTACAGCCTCCACCTCGGTGCTAGCATTTCTCATTTTTACTACTGTGGGCATCCCCTCACCAGATAGCTTAGTTTCAGCTCACCCAGCACCCTAATCCAAACGGTCTGCAACACTGACACCTGGATCTTCTCTGACCATTACTTTCATCGGGGCACCTCTCCTTCGGGGGTCTTTGTGGTGTACACTATCAAGGAACTCACTAGGCAGGGATCTTCTGCTTTCTAGTCCTTCTTCCCCTCCTTCATTCTCTACTATTCTCTGGCCTGTCCTTTCCCTCTGTCAGAGAAGTGAGATGTCAGATATAGCTTTCCTTTCCCCCTCTTACAGCCTCTTTTTCAACAACAGTTCTAGAGATTTTACGTCCTC